GTTGCATCTGTCAACAGCAGCTTTAAAATGTGCCTTGCTCACAAAAATCATCCCCAACCTTATATCTGGAAGAGCATCTTCAACTTCTTCATAAACAACGTGTGTAGCTCTCCTCCTAGAAGCATGATCAGCATCACTTCCATCATCTTCATCAGTAGAAATGTAACTATATTCTGCATCACTTTGCATTTCATCACCATCATCATGGACTGCTGTAAGAGGGGTACTAGGACCTACTGCATTCACACCTAAATTAATTGAATTTACATACAATATATGAAAACATAACCAAACTTTAAAAAAAAAAAAAAAAAAAAACACAGTACAACTGTGAAAAGACATACCACCATCATGATAGGAACTAGGTCCTGCAGTATCCTCTTGGAAATTATAACAAAAGGACTTGACCTTTTTTCTGGCCTCCATAGCCTCCTCATCTTCGTTATCTGTTAACTCAGGGATATCCATAACAGGATCATAATGCCCTTCATCACCTTCTGCCTCTTTGTCCCCATCGAGATCATCATTATAGTCATCAGCCACCTCCTCACTTTGTGATGCACATGCACGTTCCTTCTCAACCCCAGCACCAGCTTCCTTCTCGACACCAACACCAGCTTCATCTTCCTTCTCAACACCAACACCAGCTTCATCTTCCTTCTCCACACCAACACCAGCTTCATCTTCCTTCTCTAACCAAACACCTTTTGCAGTAAAATCTTGTCCAGGTTCATAATAATCCTCAACTACACCCTGCTTTTGGCTTTCCTCCACACGAACCTCACCATCAATCCCCTTACCATGAGTAACACCCTCAGTCTCAACCCCTTTACTACCATTATCAGTTTCTTGACCCTTGTTTGCATCATCGCCAGGTGCTGGTAATGCAAGAAATTGTTCAACCACAAAAGGGAAATCTGGTATATGAATTACATATATGTGAACCTTATTGTGAACCCTCAGTATGTCCAAGAGTTCTCTAATTGAAGCATCACCTATTACTTGCTTCAAGCCATCACTGAGTGTCTTTCCAGGTTCCAAATACCATATATGCTCTACCATATGTGGATCATAACGTGCTATTGAAACCTTTTGGAACAACTCCCTCACAGTTAATTTATCTATGTCTACATGCCAGTCCCAACACTCTCCATCAACATATTTAAGTCCATTATCCTGTATTAACCTACCTCCTATATGAATAAACAGCACATGCTTCTCGATCCCCCAATCACCCTATTCAATAATGCAATTAAAAAATTCAATATTTTACATAATAAGTGCATCTCAACGACCAAGTTTAACGACAATAAATAATAAAAAACAGAAACGAATTATAGAACCTTATTGCTTCCATACAGGTAAACACACTGACCCATGAAAAACACATAAGGTGGGGACCAGATGCCCCTTTTCAGAAAGCAAGTCAATAAACACATATTCGAAAACCCCACTTTACCCACTTTCTTACTGCACTCATCAGACACCAGGACAATAACAAGACAACCTCACCCATTAAGCATAACCTTCACACATCTCAAAAGAAGATTCGTGGACAAAAAGCGTACGTACCTCATTCCCGCTGCCATCTGAATCCCCTTCCAGGTCGATATCTATGATTTCTGCAGACATTGCTTCTCATTCAACGATCGATCATGACAAAGAGTACGAAGACTCGATTGAACGGCGAATCGACAGAAAAAGAAGAGATATTGCGCTGTTAGGGATTGTTTTTAAGACAGAAATAGAAAGGAAAAAGGAACGATCGATCGATTTTAGGGTTCTAAAAAAATATATATAATTTAAACTTCCCCTTTGTCCGAGATTGGGGTTTTTTTTTTTTCATTTCCGAGCGCGGGAGAGTGACGTGGCAGTGACGTGGAAGGTGTCAGAAGTCCACGTAAGCATTTTGTACAGGTCGGCATACCCACGTCAGCTGTTCCAGTTAAGTTAACGGGCCACGCGAGCAAAATTTGACGGAGGGACTAAAAAGGGGCCGGATTTTAAAATTTAGGGACCAAAAAA